TGCGGGTGCCTCTCACTGCCACAGTCTCTCCGTACCATCCGGTTCGAGACAGACCCCGTCGAATTCGAACCCAATGCTCTTGCACCCTGAGATTCAGCATATTATCGAGTCTGCCCTAAAGCCGTCCACAAGGAAGTCATATACGGCTAAATGGAAACGTTTTTCCACCTTCGCTGAGTCTCATTCGTTCTCCCCACTTGTCTCATCAATCGAACAAATTCTTCAGTTCCTTCTGGAGTTGCATCACTCTGGACTGAAGCTGTCTTCTATTAAAGTGTATATGGCCGCAATAGCCTACTACCGTGGCTTAGTCGACGGATCACCCCTATTTTCTCATCCTATCCTCAAGATTTTTTTGAAAGGACTGTATAATCTTAATCCATCAATTAGACCGGTTATGCCCACATGGAGCCTTTCTGTAGTTCTACAGGCCCTTATGAAGGCCCCCTTTGAACCTTTGGCGACTGTGGATCTCCGATTAGTTTCTTGGAAGACGGCGTTCCTTGTAGCTGTCACGTCAGCCCGGAGGGCCAGTGAACTTTGTGCCCTCCACGTCGACCCTCCTTATCTAAACTTCCACAGAGAAAAGGTTGCTTAACGTCTCGACCCATCTTTCTTGCCCAAAGTCTCTACACCTTTCCATACAGGACAAGACATTGTACTGCCTGCCTTTTTTCCACCGCCGTTGAATCCCTTGGAAAGATCCTTGCACTCCCTCGACGTTTTGCATCGTTTAGCCTTTTATCGATCGCGAACGGAGTCTATTCGGCAATCCAATAAACTGTTCATCAAATATTCGGCTAGAGATCAGGGCGACCCAGTCACTCCACAAAGGCTTTCTAAATGGATAGCCCACACTATTGTCTTGTGTTATCAGTTAGCTAAGCTCGAATTGCCTTCAGTTCCTCGAGGCCATTCTACTAGAGCTGTCACTACATCTTCTGCATTCGCATCCGGGGTTCCGATTGATGACGTCTGCAGAGCCACTACTTGGGCGAATCCCTGCACTTTCGCCAAGCATTACCGTCTCGATGTTCAGGCTCAACAGGACTGCTCCTTCGGTAGAGCTGTTCTCTCCTCCGTCCTTCGATGAGGACACCTTCCCTCCTCCTTTGATGGTAAGCTTGTTAATCTACCCATATGTGTGATGCACAGAGGCCATGACGAAGAAAAGCAGGTTGCTTACCTGTAACTGATGTTCTTCAAGTGGCCATCTGTGCAGTCACACAACCCGCCCACTGGCCCCGCTCGGTGTCAGTGAGTGGATGCATCGACAGCTCAATGTCGATGAGAGAGGGCATTTTCGGTACCAACCATCTCCTTTACGGTACCGACAAAACAAAAATCCATTAAGATACCGTACGTTCGGTTGCAAAGACTGAACAAAATGGCGGACGCTCCGCTCTTTATAGGCCACATGGGAGAGGGGGAGCGGAGCTTCCCGCCAAAAACCGTTAGCTATCAATCTTCCGGCCAAAGGCACTGCGCAGGCGCAGTACCCATATGTGTGACTGCACAGATGGCCACTCGGAGAACATCAGTTACAGGTAAGCAACCTGCTTTTCTACTGCCTTCTCTACTGAACTTAGGGGTGGATTAAGAGAACTCTATGCAAAAAGAGAGCCTCCCTTAAAGCTATTTTCATTCTGATTTATCCTTGCAACCCACTCTCCTCTGAAAATACTGGCAAGCAGGGTTGGGATGAACCCTATCAGACTCAACCCTTTCAGGAATTCCCAGACATCCACTTGTGCATGGCCTGGTCTTCCAAAGTGAGTTGAGCCAAGAAGTCTGTGAATGCTTGTGGATGCCTGGCTATGCTACCAGCAACCCTTTTCAGTATCAAGTACAGCTGCTATTTGGGTGGTTGTACTTGGCAGGGGGAGAGAAGCTCTGCTAGCAGCCACATAGGACTTCTTTCCTAGTGAGCCCCTTGTGACCAGCCTTCCTTGTCAGCTGCCCCAACACGGGACAGGCACACTGCTTGTACAGTGAATGAGGCATCATTCCTGGTATGCACCCTGCAAATGCTGGGTGCACTCACAAGGAACTCTGGGCCACTGCAAATCTGACAGATTCCCACCCCCAAATGGATTCATCACATACCCCTATGTTAAAGACCTGTATATAGGCAAACCTTCAGGTTGCTTCAAGTAAATGAAAAATGCACTACAAAGTTTTAGTTCTAAACCTGAAAGAATCAAAATCTATATTCTTAACATTTTAATAACCTATTTAAAAATTAAAAATGAAATCTACAAAAGCCAGTGTTACATATCTTCTCAATGTTCCAAGAGAAAAAAAAAACTGTGTTTGGCACAAGCCAGTGGAGCCAAAGAACTAAAAATTAATAAACCAGCCTTTCCTCTTCATGTTCTCTAGTTTGGTTTGTTTAAAAGTCAAAGTGGAAGCTTTCAATCCTCCTCTGGATGAGAAAAGAAAGGAGAAGAAAGAACATGGGAACTCACCACTCAAAACACAAAGAGGGAAACCATGGTTTCCCATTATATCCACTGGTTATGTCATTGGCTAACAAGCAATACATAATGTCAACACAGCTGCCTCTGCAATATGGGTGCCAAGGCAGCAACTCTATTTCCTGCTGAACTGTCATTTGGCTATATTAACCATGGGATATCTTGGTGATGATTTTATTGTGTAGTTACCCTGTCCAATTCAGAGAATTCTACAAGGGAAGTATACAGCACTATCTTCTGTTTCTAAGCTTCCGGTATTTTTCTACTGCTCTGTTTTCTTACCAAGAAAAAAAAATCCGTCAAGGAAGAAATGGAAAAGAGTTTCTCATGATGCTCCATGGTATGGCCCACTGCTTTCCTCAGCTTTTGCTTTTATGTCCTGTCTACATCCCTTCTTTCTGCTTTAATAATCTGCGCTGTGGAACCTGACACTGGGAATGAACTGCTTCTTTTTCTCCCTATCCAACCTTCCATCAAGTGTATACTAATGGATCTTGGCTAGGAGCCAGGTGCCATTTCCTTCACTCCCTTCTCATGTCCACCCCCATCACAACTGTCAGTATTCCATCCTTCCATGGATCTCGGATATTCAGATTCAGAAGTGGCATGTGCTGGTTTGATTTGAAAGAAGACAAGAGTAATTATTTGCCACAGCAGGATACTGGCTTTACACAGCTTATCTTGTTGCAGCAGTGTTTTAAGACCTCGGTCAAGTCTGTATAACCTTGGTAACAAGCACTAGTTCTTCAGAATGCAGCTCTCTGCTAGAACAGAAGACTACTCATCATTGTCTTAAAGGAAGACACAAGGTTCAGCAGGATTTGCCTACAGGCAAAAAGCAACATTTGTATAGATCAATAGTTGCCTATATTGCACTGCATATGTTGATACTTAGTAGTAGCAAATAACTGTCACACCTGTTCTAATGCTAGCAAAAGGAGAAACTGAAGGAAAGGATTATGGAGTTAGTTAAGCCTAGAGAAAACATAGTCTGAAAGTTTGATAGTTTGAAAGACTATTGCATAAATGAAACTTTTTTTTAACTGTTTAGCCCCAGAAAGTAATGGGTTCAAATGACAAGACAGAGGATTTCAACTAAACATCAGGAAGACCTTTCTAACAATATGAACTTCATTGGAAGGTGATGATTTTAGCGGTTTCCAAGCAAAAGGTAAATAGACTCCTACTAGAAAAGCTTGTAGCAGTAAATTTCCAGCTCTGACAGAGGGCTGGCCTAGATGGTCTTTGAGGCCAGCCTCTCAGATCTATGATTCTTAGTAATTTATTTATATACTGACACAGATATGCAGATTCAAGCCCTTGGGCAGGCTTCCAGGAACTTACCATCTGCAGGATCAAGAACTATGTACATAAATCAGATGCACACCCTGGTAAATGTGCTACATAATCTAAAATAAGGCTAAATCAGGGGTGTGGCCTCATTCTGTGTGGTCCTTGGCCAAATTTCAAAAAGTAAGCAATCAGTCCAGAACCCTGGCAAGAGTTGATATGCCCCTTCTGTGGCAATCTGCTGGGCAGTAAAGTAGGAGCTGGTGGGGGGGGGGAAGGGTGACTCACCTACTTTTGGCTCTGACCCTGTCGACTGTTGGCTTTGGTCTTACTACTGACATGAACCCCAACAGACTATATGCAATGAAAGGCAGCCCTCAAAAGAAATAACACTGCCCAATCCTGTGTAAAATGCTGTATTACTTAGCTTCTTGAGGCAATTACTTATTTACATTTGCATACAACCTAATAACTGAAGCAGTTTTTCTCTGGGCAGTTCATAACAATTAAAACCACAAAACACACTCCTGAACATAAACACTACTGTATAAAACAGAAGTTCTTTACATGTAGAAAGCTCTAAGAAGCTTTAATGTAAGCCAAAATTCTCTCAAACAACCTTTCTAAGGTTTGCTTAGACCAAGGCAAATGCTACTGCCCTAGAAGCTTCTCCCTCAAAAGGAGAACCAACCTATTAACAGAATGCATTATGTGCACACTATACAAGCTCCAAAATATGAAACAGGTCAGATGGCATGGAATGAGACAGTTCGTAGCATACTTGATCTTGAGCTTTTACAGCCTAGATCTAGAACCTAGATTCTAAGAAGGGGTAGGCAACATGGTATCTTTGCTGTTTACTGAGAGGCCATACTCCTCACAATTTATATTTTCTTACTGGCAGGAAGTATTGCTTTAAAGTAAAGTGGTATCCTTTAGCTGTTGTCATCCAAATGTTTCTGGGCAGGTTACTTATCCTTTGTGACTAGGCATGGCCACCTCCTGTATAGTAAAGGAAACTCCATGTGAATTTCCCACTTTCTGAGATTTGAAGATACTGCTATGTCTGATGCAGAAAGGATGCTGTATTTTCCACATGTCAACTTCCAGCCATTCTTAGGCATATATTCAATAAACAATGCAGGTACAAACTCAGCTACACATTAAAGATACAGCTGTAGCTTGGAAAAAGTGGTGCCACAATTGCTGAAATCATTGTTACTGAATACTCACCAGCTTTTGTGTCATTATCCCAATCCCAGGCTTCTATTATTAATGTGAACGATCTCTGAAACAAAAGAAACAGATTAATTACTGAAGTGGAAAAAAGGTAGAATTCTGAAAGAGGTATGAATCTGACTTAGCAGAAACAGGTCTTACCCTCACACGTTAGTTTACTTCTTCCAGCAATAAATAATTCCCAGTAATTCCCACACCCACTCATCAGGAAATGATGGTTGAATGTTTTTATGTCCAGTAAATGCCAATGTTAGTGTACTTACTACTTCAAAAACCTAATCATTACTGGTGCAAAGTACTGGACCAATTTTTGTTGCAATCCCCAAGGATCAACATTGCTTGCTATATATGCTTATATTTAAGGCATTTGCTTACATTTAAGCTTTAGTTGTACAGAAAAAGTATTAACAATGCAAGTTGCCATAAATCTTTCTATTAAATGACCAGACATTAAAGGATCAACTTCTACAGCTTTGCTATCCAATGTGGGAAAAGTATCTAAAAGATGAATATACTACTAGAATGAAGTAAGATTGGATCCTAAATTATCCAACCTATTTGTGGCCAACCTTGGGCAAAGAGTTTTCCAACAAGCTTTGCAGGGCAGGGCTCACCATTAGGAGAAGCCGCTGCAACAGCAATTATGACCACCATTTTGCATCCTCCATAATGCTCCAATGTTCTGTGTATTGTGCATAAAAAGGTGCTGCTACTCCACCCATCTCAAACATTTGGCGAAACTGTTCAAAAGTTGAGCTCTAGATATTACATAAAGCTACACATAGAAGCAGTACAATACCACTTTTTCCCCCTCTGTTCGTGCACACACACCTCAATTTAGAATGGAGATGGGGAAGTTTTTTTGGTCTAAAGGCCAACTTGGTTCGAGGCAAGCATGGCAGACACTCCATGCTTCCTCCAAAAGCGGTTGGGTGCCATTCCCACTGCAGCCATATTATTGCCCAAATCCTCCTTGCACACATACCCTTTCTCTCATAACTCATGCCTCCCTCCTGAAAATATGCCTCCTCGCTGCTACAATTGGACCTGATTGCAGCTGTCAATGGGTTAGTTTTTGAGGGGGGAACACAACCCTGGGAAGGGGATGGTTAGATCCCTCCACCCCAGCCAGAACCCTTCTAAAAATCCTCTGATGGTGGAATTAGACTTTTATTTTATTTTATTTATTTAGACCATTTCTATGCCGCCCCATTCGCAAAAAGCCTCGGGGTGGCTTACTTTTAAAAAACCTCCTTTGGCACCAACAGAAGTTTCTGAAATCCTAATTGTGAATTAATGGGATGGTTGCAAGTGGAGAAAATCTGTCTCCAGTCACCATCCATGAACAAATGTTGCTCTGCAAAGCTTTTCAAAGCAACAAGAAACAAAGCTTGTGGATGCAAGCAGGTCAGATTTGTTGCCCTGGAAGGTACTCAGTAAGAGATACTGAGTCTCTGGAAAATACTCAGTAAGAGATACTGTTCACTATGGAATGTAGTAGAAGAGCCAATATGATATAATGCTTAAGAGCATGAGATTGGAACACAGGCAATACGGGTTCCAAACCCCACTTAGCCATGGAGCTAACTAGACCAGTTACAGACCATCAGACAAACCTGTATCACAGGGTTGTTGCTGTGGGGATAAGACTGAGGGCAGGAGGAAAAGAATGATGTAAGCCACTTTGAGTTCTTTAAAAGGGTGTCATGCCTGAAGCCTCAGCAGAGGCGACACCTCAAGAGGAAGCGTCACGCACCCGAAGGGAGGATCAGGAATCAGATCAGGAGGACTTATACTTGGACCAAGCGCCCCTTCCACAACCTAGCTGTTCAGTTGGTCCCAAGCCAGGCTGTGGAAGGGGCGCTTGGTCCAAGTGTAAGTCCTCCTGATCTGATGTCTGATCCTCCCTTCGGGTGCTTGACGCTTCCTCTTGAGGTGTCGCCTCTGCTGAGGCGTAAGGCACAACAAAGGGTGAGATATATTCTTTCTTATATTTTCTTTCTTATGCAAAAGCATCTTCATGTAACTTAAAGGAAAGTCTCTGCATTGGAACTAAGAACATATTTAAAATTCTAGCAACTACAAACAGCTCTAGCTTCGAACAGTGTTTGCATCAAAGTACACCGCTCACACAACAAAACTTGCTATACAATAATACCTACATAACTCCTTGGAAAGTGTTTTGTGCATAGGAAACACTGCCTGATTCAGAAAGGACTCTGAAGAACATCAAATATTAGAATAGGAAAATAATTGTTTATACCACTGGATCAGTTTTAGGAGTGTCAATAAGATTGTTAAAATCATTCTCAAATCACACTATAATCACATGGCTGTAGAGTTTCCTATTTCCTGACCTAGGACAGAAAAGCATATTGAAACTCCTGAACAAAATGCAAGTATACAAATAGCCAGGTTTTCTCACTAAGGAAACTGCTTAAATTATTATGTCTTGTTCAGTCTTGCAATATTCTCCCAAATAACATCAGAACTCCTCTGCATGCCCCAGCTAACACATGGAAAGATCAGGCTCTTATGATTCACTGAATTTCAAAGCAGTTAGCACTTTCACTGTATAGTACCTCTTAAGTATTTTAATATTTACTCTCTCTATATACAAACAAATATGTTAAGCTGTTACTTGGAGGATAACGGCAGAACAAATAATGACATTCTTGGCGGTCTTAAGTAATTTTAGATAGTTTCATCAGGGTTCAGACTTAAACAGCAGCCGCCTCGTTATACACACATGGTATATGCATAACAGCACTGTATTCTGAGGGTGTGGAATGGGCTTCCACAAGAGGTCGTTGAGGTCCCATCGGTGCAGGTGAACAAGGATAGGCTGGACATGCATATGGTGGGCATGTCGTGAGCGGAGCCGGCTGGTGCCAGAGGTCAGACTAGATGGCCTGGGAGACCCCTTCTGACTCGCGCTGTTTCTATGTTTCTATTCCTGCTTTGAGAGGTTACCTTGTTGAAAGGCCAATAACAAAGTTTAGGAGATTAAAAAACTGACCTCTTCCCAAACTTAACAGAGATAATTGCTTTAAATGAAACACTTGAACCAACATGTAATTAACATTCTGAAAAACAAAGGAAAGGCAGGCCAGGGAAGCCAATTACAGGCATCCACATGCAGTGTAGAAGTGACACAGGAGCGGGCAACTTAGGGCACTCTCCTCAGGACACATGTGGCCCTTCGACTAACTACTATGAATCCAATTTAGACATCTGACTCAGGCAACCCCTTCCTTGAGAGCTCACTAGGCAGCAAATAATAAGAAAAGAGAAGGAATGGCACGCAGAAAAAGGGATGGCCTATCCATTTATAGCCCTAACCTAGGCCCACTACCACCTTTGGCTCCACCTCCTGCTGACACATGCCCCAAGAGATTTACTTATAAAGAAATTCAGCACCCAATAGAAAGGATGCCCATCCTTGATTGATACATTTTCCACTTAGAGGATTGGTCTGGGTTTAGTCATGATTATAGCACTTTATTAATTTATATAATTTCTATGCTGCCTCCAGCTGTAGCACTCAGGGCAGTTCATAAATATACATTGTACAATATATATATTAAAACATAATTAAAAGTTTACAAAACAAAATTTAAACCCACTTATTAAACAGGTTAATAATAAGAAGAGGAAGAAGACGATGAAGACAAAGAAGTACAACTTCCAAAATCATGAGTAGTAGTAGTTCCCCTATACTCCTCACTAGTAAGGCCTCATCTGGAATACTGTGTCCAATTCTGGGTGCCAAATTTTAAGAAAGATGCAGAAAAAATAGAAAGTGTCCAGAGTAGCACAACAAAAATGATCCAGGGCTGGAAACACTGAGAGAACTGGGCACGTTCAGCCTTGAGAGGAGAAGAATGAGGGGGACATGAGATCCCTCTAAAAGTACCTCAAGGGCTGTCACAGAGAGGAAGGTCAAGATCTCTTCTTGCTGATATCAGAGTGTAAATAATCAATTCAAGCTATGACAACCCAGATTCAGGCTAGATACCAGGAGACGTTTCCTCACCGTCAGAGCAATATGACAGTGGATCCAGCTGCCTAGAGAGGTGGTGGGCTCTCCCACACTAGACATTCCAAAAGAAACTGGACAGCCATCTGAGTGGGATGATGTAAACAGCTGGGATTTGGAACCAATGGCGTTCAAGGCCCCTTCCAATTCTACTATTCTATGATTCTGTGAGTATACTAATGTGGTACTGGAGGGGGAAGGCAAGTGAGACCTAACATAATTAAGCTTAGGGCACAACTTTAGGTTAAGAAGGCAGACCAGCTGAGAAGTCTCAGATGCTCCAAACATTTGGCCCTCTTAAAGATGTGGCTCTTTTCAGTTTTGTAAGGGAGGAGGAGCTTTCAGTTTAGAATCAAGGTCTTATCCTTAAGCTGCATTTCTTAATCACCAGTGTTCTAACTTTACTTGCTTCATTTATTATTGACTTCTGCGATTCTTTTCCTTTGTACTGCAAAGCCAACCTATCTGGTCAACTTTAACACAATAAAGCCTTTCAAGTTAAAAAGGCTTTGTTGTGCTCTGCTTGGAAGGAGCGGGAGAAAAGCCATGACAGGGAGGAGAATGGCACATTCTGGATCTCATAGGGGCACTACTTGCTCTTTCCTCAACATGCTTGGCAGCTGCTCTTTGTGCTGTCCCAGTAGCTGCCTGGACATAGTTAATAACAGCACCAGCTGACCTTCAGCAGGGCTTATGGGTGATTAGTATGAACAAAAAATCAGCAGCTGGGGCAGCATGAGAAAAGGGAGGCATACCCTACTTTGCCCCCATGAGTATGGATATGTAAGAGGAAAGGTGGCCTAACTCCCTGCTGCAAGGAGAAACTACCTTCTTATAATGGCTTGAGGTCCTTTCCTAAGACCATCTCCTGAGAAATGGAAATAGTATTCAGGCAAGGAAAGCATTCCTTTCCAACTGACTAAATTGCCAACTTTGCTCAAGCGTGCTGACCTGAGACCAGTGATAAATGAGCATCCAAACTAAAACTCAGCCTTAGTGAAAGTTGGCAT